AAAAATTTATGAAAGCCCACAAATTTCTGTCAAATGATCATTAAAGTTCGTTTTAGTTTATTGGTTGACTTAGAACCTAATGCTGCATGAATATTTTGAAAGTACGAAATATTTTAATCTTTGTAAATATTTGTGTAAAATAAGATTGATTGATTCTATGCAAAGATATGTAAATAAAACAAAATTTATTTTATTAAAAGAAGATTGAAAGAAAAATGCTGAAATTCATAACAGTGTGACAGAAGCAATTATTCAATGTATATAGTCAAGTACTACATGTACTGTACCAACAATTAACAAAATCATGTATAGTTTTCTTAAGATCACTTGAGCATCACCTGGTACATTAGCTAGTCATATATTACTTTGGTGTGTGCCTTAGTATATTGCATTTTATATTACAGGCAATTTTTTTCTACAAAAATAAGGCTAATATCAGATTACAATAATTAGGATTATATATTTGCCATCTTGATGTATAAATAAATGGCAAACATTAAGAAAATAGAATCATTATATCAAAGAATAGATACAGTTAAATCTTGATAACTAATAGCCTGAATAAATGGTCACTTCAGATAAGTAATCATATTTTCCTACTGAGGGTAGCAAGTAACCTAGAAATCTTGGGGCTCTGGTAAATAATGTTGTCCTCAATGTACTGTGGAAACATATCATAGCCTACTGAAACAGAAGAATGCAAGCTATGATATCCAAGCTGACATTTGAGATCTGTTAATAATTTTATATTAATTATTCTTTTGGCTGGGAAATGTAAATAAAAACTGATTAAAAAAATTTTTTTTTTAAAGTATTGAATTATTCAAGTTCTTGTATTTTTCAAAACATATCTTGAAACCCAATTAATTAGTAATGTGTGAAATGACTGCCAGATTAAATCGGGCTACTACTGTATAATTATTTTTTAAAGAAGTACCTGATTTAATCCAACAGTTATTTAGCATATTTTTCAGTACATATTACAATAATAATATTAAAAAACACAACACCCTTATTAATCCAGCAATATTTAATAAGATAATAATAACGTTTTCGACTGTTTTAAACAGCCTTCATCAGTTAAACTATTTCAAACTAAAAGAATGCTAAAAATAGAATACAAGTTTTTAAAAACTCAAATTCCAACGTAAAACGCAGTCGTATAATAATTCGACTGCGTTTTACGTTGGAATTTGAGTTTTTAAAAGCTTGTATTCTATTTTTAGCATTCTTTTAGTTTGAAATAGTTTAACTGATGAAGGCTGTTTAAAACAGTCGAAAACGTTATTATTATCTTATTAAATATTGCTGGATTAATAAGGGTGTTGTGTTTTTAGTTATACATTATCCAGTAAGTGCATTATTTATTTATCTATTGAATAATAATATTAATTAATGAATGGATGAAACAAGAACAAAATTTAAAGTTTGGTCTTGATCCACTCTTATGTTACATTATCTAGGCATTCTCACAAGACATAGTCGGAATTTATGAATTCTGGTCCATCACACACTTTCTATGCATCGTGTATTTTGCTTGTTGATACGTGCTTACTGTCCTTAATTACTTATATTATACTTGTGTCCACTTTAGAAATATAATTGCATTAAAATAAATATATTTTAATTGGAAATGGTGTGTTTCTTCTCCCTCAGTATAACAAGTCCTAGTTCACAAGAATGTCCAAAGTGGACACAAGTATAATACATGTATTTTGCAGTTTCAAGCTTTTCATGCATTAGTAATCTTCAAGTCATGCCTAGTGGCTGTTAATTACTGCTTTGGTATTAAATAATATTGGTTAAGCTAAATAAAGAGACTATATTATTGTCATCTGTAGACTAAATAAAAAAAATACACAAAATTTTTATTGCTTAGAAAATTTTTTCATAGCCTGAATGACTTCAAAAAAAAGAGGGGCATCCATGAAGAAAGTTTGGAAACTGCTGACATGTGAGAGAGTATGTAGAAGATATGAGAGAGTATGTAGAAGATATTTAGTTTTAAAGTTTTGATCTCAGAAACAATAAAGGGAAAAGAATAACTTATTAGAATTTAGTGAAGCAATAGTTAAAGTGACATGTAACACATTATTTTATACATTAATTCTACCATTTTAAAACAACCAATTTCATGATAAACTATACTTCAGTTTGCAAACTCATCAAATACAGAGTAAAGGCAATATTTGCATTACATGTTTAATTGCTGTGTAAAGTAAAATCCTCCAAGGCAAGTTTTCAAATAGTTAGTGCCTGGAAAGTTAGTGCACTAAACTTTAAAGAAAATTTAGTTTTTTAAGTAAATAAAATTTATATTTGTACAGCAAATTTTCCTTTATCCTATTCTTTATAACAAAACTATTTGGAAATATGTTTCATGGGGAAATCAATTGCAATTTGGCTCATGTTCAACTGAAATTTAAATTAGACCAATCAGAAAGAAAAGTGACAAGTGCATTTGTTTACCATTAGGTGCCAACTTATTTGAAAAAGACTATAGTAATTTAAAATATATCAATTGGATTAAGAATCAACTGATATAAGAACTGATTCTGGATCATGTTTTCTTTGCTCTTTGAAGATTCTTGATGAACCTTCAAAAGCATTTATGATGCATTGAATTCTGCAACTGTGGAAGATTGAACACACACACAACACTGTTGAGTGTATAATAGTTGAATTGTAATGAGATTATTACAAAAGTTGCTTTTAGCCCTTAGTATAATTATATTAAAATTAAATTATCGACAACCGTGAGGCAGATAATAGTGAGGGCTTATCAGACCAGTGATAGGCACAAATGCTCAGGAATCAAAGTGAAAATATTTAATAAACACAAAAATGACTACATAAGTATGGAAAAACCCAAAATACATTTCGGACTATTTCCCAATAGAAAATAGTCCCTCATCAGTTGGCATTAACTGAAGGTTTTAGTATATTTAAAATTATACAGGGTAAAGGTAAACTTAAAACTATGCCTAAAGCTATACAATATAACGGCATTTTCATCTTTATATTGTATAGCTTTAGGCATAGTTTTAAGTTTACCTTTACCCTGTATAATTTTAAATATACTAAAACCTTCAGTTAATGCCAACTGATGAGGGACTATTTTCTATTGGAAAATAGTCCGAAATGCATTTTGGGTTTTTTCGTTTCCATACTTATGTAGTCATTTTTGTGTTTATTAAACATTTTCACTTTGATTCCTGAGCATTTGTGCCTATCATTTGTCTGATAAGCCCTCACTATTATCTGCCTCACGGTTGTTGATAATTTAATTAATATAGTTGAATTGTAGATACAAATGGAAGTTGATTTATATATACAGTAGAGTGTCAATTATCCAATCAACCAAAACATTGGTTAACTGAAAGCATTCCAGTTGGATTGTGTCGTGCTGAATTGAATGTTTTTGATACTAGATTAACTTCTAAAGTTAATTTTTTTTGTTTTTATATTTTTCACGACACAATAATTTTTAACGATACAATAGCCATGATTATTATTATAAAAATTTTTGTTAGACTTAACATCAACAAAAATTCAACGTGAAGTGACACACAATGGAGAAAAATGTAAACATGGGATATATTAATATACTACTATTGGGATATACTAATATACTATATTAATGTATTTTTTTTTGTACATAATCGATTATCCGAAAATTCAATTTTCCGAATAACCCCAGTCCCCAATTGATTCGGATAATTGGCGCTCTACTGTATATATAAACATCTTAAAGCCCAATGATCATATCAAAGTGAAACAAAATTACCAGGTTAAATTTGGGTCAAATTATTCATTATTTAATAATTATTAGTAGAGATTGATTTAATTCAAGATCTAGTTTGATTTTTTTTTTTTTGGAATAACATTATAGCACAATCACATATAATAAGGGACCAAATGGTATTATTAAAGAAGCTAATGGCATTGAAATAATTTTCAATGTTGTTATATATTTCTACAAAAAAAAATTGTTTATTGAGATTTCTAGTACTCTTCATTACTTTTGAAATTTACACAAAAATTTAATTGTGTATTCAACAGAAAGCTGTAGTTAACTAATTATATTGATTTCATATGTAGGTAAATGAGCTTAAATATGTTTAAGCTTGCATTGTTTTAGCCCATATTTGACAATTATGCAAAGAAAAACAAGAATTCTTATAACTTCATGAACATTTGTAAATACAACTTTATGCCTGATATTTTGAAGAGAATTTTTACAGATAACACAACTGTTCTGATTGGCTTTATTGATCATTGTCGTCTACTAGGCTTGAATGTAGCTTTAACCAAATCAGTGTTTCTCAGTTTTAGAATTATATCAAAATAACTTTTACTTCAAAGAATAAATAGTTGTAAAATACCAAATTTTTTCAGATATTAAAATAATCACTATAATAATGTCTTTAGTATTTTAAGACTACAGTAGAGCCTCGAAAACTCGGCCTAATGTGGACCGAAGGGTGGCCGAGTTTGTGAAAATGCCGGGTTATCGGGAATGGTGTTAAAAAAACTAAGTATTAGTGTTTCCTCAGAAAATACTGTACTGTATTTGTATGTATTGTTTACTTGAGAATACAACAGAGAATAAACTGCCCAAATATCCTTAAACAAAGGAAAAGTACGTCCTTTATGAAGGCACAGAGCCTTTACTACATGAAAATGAAAATTAATGAATACACTGTGTACAGTAATTTACCTGATAAGACAGACCCCAGAAAAATACTTTATGAGGCATAAAGCTGTCTATAATGAAAATTAATTAACTAACGATTTTTTTGCCCTGCCAGGGTGAAGCCAAGTTATCTGGAGTGCCGGGTTATCGAATGCCGAGTTTTCGAGGCTCTACTGTATTTCAATATGAAAATGGCAATAAAAATAATAAAATGATGCTGAATTTTTTATATATTTTTATTGATAACATTTTATGGAATAATAATTCTAATTATCAATAATCTTGAAAAAATAATTGTTTTCAGGTACAGTTTTTGAGAGCACGTTTTAGAGATTTGGATATAGAAGTTGATGGAGGAGTTGGTCCTCAAACTATTGATATGTGTGCAGAGGTATGTTTTTATCATTTCGTAATAGTTTTTTTTCACAAAGTCAAGAGTCTTTCAGAATTTATCTTATAAAATCTTTATTTATGGTAATCATTGGGTTTAACCAGTTTTGATATATTGTAGGTATTAAAAGATTTAATAATTAAAATTGATCAGAATATAGTTTGCCAATTAAGTTTTAGGATTAACTCCATTACATACATTTAAAAACACTAGAAATAAGAGAGTAGGTATGTGTGTCCTCTGCATTCTGACTTATGTGTTATTTGTTATCATTCATATTACAGAATTTGCATTGTGCAAATCATTGTCATTGTATTTATTGAAAAAAGCTAAAAACAAACATTAAAATTTGTTCAGATTGGATAAAATTATAATTGAACATATAAATTCATGGAACAAATATATGGTAAATGACAGAATATTGTTGTGTGTTCTTAGCTGAAAACAGAATAATATATTTATAAGAAAAAGTATAATATAAATATTCCTGCTAAGTGAGTTTTTGAGATGATCTTATTAGGATAAAGGTGACACAGCTGTGATATTGACCACACCATCCCTCTTTATGCCAATAAATAACAGTTGGTTAACTCTAAATATTGTTAAAGATAATCTTCATATATAAAGAGATGTAAATGTATATGGGTTTATCTTTATTTTTCAACATTTCTTTTTATGTAGTTTAAATGAAAATAAAATATATTGGTATTGATTAATTTTGAATTATAAATAACTTTCCTATGTGATATAGCAGGCCTAAAACTAATTCACTTATTGCTTTTCCATTTTTATATTAGAGGATAAGTTTTGATTTTACTATCATCTCAATGTTTCAATGTCAAAATATTTCTAATCAGTCAGAATTTTGAGACATGATTGTCTTTAGAATTTAATGTAACTGTTTACTTGAATATTAATCAGATCTATTGTAATGTTTGAATTTATGGCATATATAAATATATATATTCTATATTTTGTTTTGTCGGTATACTGTATTTTCTTTTGCTTTGATAAAAATTTAATTTAGTTTTTATTAGAAAAAATCTCTTATGTATCTTTTTTTTTTCTTATTAACATTTAGGTCTTGTATTTTTCTTGTATTTTAAATCTTAACTAAGTGACAAAAATTAAGGATATAATATTAAAATGACTGCTGCTGTGGCTAAAATTAAACAAATAATTCAACACATTTATAGCAACCAAATATCTCAATTTTTATTGCATAATACAATATATAATTTAACATTTATAAAGCCAAACATGAAAAAATGTTCAATAAATTTGAAAACACTTACATAGATATGAGAATTTCACATTTACTTGAAATCAGGATAAACTAATATTTAAATAAGATAATTAGGAATAATTATACTATTATATTTAAAATGAACAACAGTAATAATTTATTGCAGAATATTTTTTAAACTATATAAATAAACTCAGACAGTAAAAGATTTATTATCTAAAATGAAATGATAGAAAATGCTACACAATTTATTTATTGATCTAATGTCATAATTTCTACTTTCATCATTCTGTAATTAATGAACCATATGTTTCACTATGAAATATAAACATAATTAATTATTTTATATTGTAATAAATGAAATTTGTGATTTAATGCATTAATTTAAAATTCTTTAATATTATGAAATGATATGAAAAAATCCACATTCAAGTTGAATAGAAAGTTAAATGCTTTTTAACAGTCATATAGTCTTCATCAGATAATATAAAATTTATAAAATTCTAACAAAATTATTTTATAACTTATATTTCTTCCCTAAATAAGATTACTGAAAATTTGTTACTATGATAAAATCTGGAAATTTTAATTTGAATGTGGATATTAGTGTGTGAAGTGTATCCAGGAATTATTTTTATGATTTATGATCAATTTTTTCCTGGAAGAACTGTGATATTATTTACATAATTTTCTGATTAATACATTATTTTCTATATTAAATAAACTTTCTTATATTCTCAGATTTTTTTAGAAATATTAGAAGTAGCAGATAATATAACTTTTACTGTGCGATATGAAAAATTATTTTTCAATAAAACTTCAAAAACTCTGTGAATTAAATATTAAAAACAGCAAAACTTATTAAACCATTGTTTCTATAATCAATTTCAAAATTAAAAGATATTTTATGCAGTTTAAGTTAATCTTGTAATCATCTAAATGCTATTTTTGAGTTAATAAATTCCTGTTTAGTTTAGTTTATTCTGATCTCGGATATTAAAATTGTAAATAAATTCAATATTTTTAAATATTTGAATATAAAAGCATTGAAAATGATTCTATAGACCTGATTCCCATCTTGAACATCTAAAAGTGTCTTCTTTGAAGTAAAATATGAGTCCCTTGTAAAAATTCCTAGTGATATCTAAATATCATAAAAGAAGAAAGTAATTAATTTTTACAGTTGTTTATTATTAATTACTTAATTAATATATTTATCATAAATATTAAATATTGAATTGAAATATTTATGTAGTTTATTTTAAAAATTAGTTTGATGTCTATATACAGGTTGCATAGTAAAGTCATCTACTGGATATGTTTTGTAAATTAATGCTTTTAAGTTATTTCATACAAAAAATCCAGTGAGGTCAACTTTGGAGAACATAGCCCTATTCTGTGGTGGGCTAATATGTTTTGTTCTGTGTTATTCATCAGTTGTAGAACTGTTTATAAGCCATTGACACATCTGGCCAAGAATGAGTGGCGCCTGTTAAACTTGTTATTGCAGTGGTTCCCAATTAGTTTTTCCTGCATACCACTTCAACTAAGAACTCAAACTCGCGTATCCCTTATAGCAGAAATTCATATTAATCCATACTAATATTATAAATTCGAAGGCAAGTCTGTCTGTGTGTCTGTCTGTTACCTTTTCACGTCTAAACCGCTAAACAGGTTTTAATAAAATTTGGCACAGAGATAGCTTACATGTTGGAGATGGACATAGGCTACATTTTACTGCGAGAAAATATCTTACTCCCACGAGAAAATTCGATATAATGCGGGCGAAGCTGTTGGTAAACAGCTGTGATAAATAGAATAAGTTTTTTTTACATTTATTACCTTTAAAATACAATTCTAATAATAATGAAAATAACATAAGGTTATTTAATTTTAATGTGACAAATGTGCACGATTTCTTTGCACAACTTTGTAAAATCTGGTTGCTTTTTGGTCAGCTTCAGTCTCGAGTCATCTTCGAGTTGAAGTCGGTGACGGTGTTTAGTTTTCATGTTTGTCATGGCCAAAAATCCACTCTCGCAGAGGTATGTTGTGCAAAATGGTAGAAAATATTTTGCCGTTTCGCTGACATCATAAATTCTAGCCCGATTTAGAAGCGAGATGTTGCAACTGATTATTAAACTCAGTGAAGTCTCATTATACTTTGTGAGAAGTCGCGTTGTTGCATGTGAGAAATAACAGCGACAAAAATTTTCAAAATTAATTTTGCGAAAACAAATTGTGTTAATTGTACAATTTTTGTTTCTTGTGTAAGAATTTCATTTAGCTACTGTTACAAATGCATTTTTTTGATGAAATTTTGAGAATATTTTTAGTTATAAATAAACAAATTTGTGCATTCAACATCGTGTTGTAAATTGCTGAATTTTTGATGGTCTACCCATTAATTTTTTGATTGCTTCATCTTATGCATTTGAATTTTAAATCGACCGATTTTAGATTGCCGCGCATACCCCTTCATGCAATTTCGCATACCCCCAGGGGTATGCGTACCACTAATTGGGAACCATTGTGTTATTGTAACAACTACAGCGTGTCATTGAGCTTTTTGTCCATAGTTGTATACAGGATATTAAGATAGCGGTCACTTGTCTAGCAGCTATTGATGAGTACAAGGTATGGGAGGGAACCTGCTTACTCCAGATCCATATCAGATATTTAGTGGTGTTGCATATCTCGTGCATTGTGGAACATGCTTTGCCCAATGATGCATGTTATGGCAGTTACAGATTCTATTCCACAAAAAAAAAAGCCTCATCCGTCCATAAAATGTGCTTAAGCACATCAGCTGTGGTGGGCAATTTGCTCAGTAGCCATTCCTTATGTTAATATGTTATATTTCAGTTGAGAAAAATAAATTAACAAAGAAAAGATAACAAATTAACAAAAACATGCTACAAGAGCAGTCTATTGTATTAAATTTGAAAAAAGTCTTCAAGCTGTAAGTTGATGTGATAAAGACTCATATAAACAGACATTTATCCCCTGACTAACATGGATTATTAATTGAAATTTTAAAACAATTAGCCCTGATTTGGAACATCCCATTCAAACTGACATTTGGCCTGACATGATGTGCATTTTGTAACTTCTAATTTAAAAATAACTGATTACAACTTGGGTTGCATATAGACTATCATGGGATGGAACTCATAACTAATACTTGGCATCACCCAGATTTGATCCTGGGACTCCAGAGTAGTAGGCTGACACCTTAACCACTTGATCATCCAACCAATATATATATATATATATACAGGGTGTACCAGAATGACGTTTCAAAAATTTGCGGGGTTGTAGAGGATGAAATTTTGAACGTTTTGATATAAGGAACCTATACAGTAGAGCCTCGATTATCCGACTCAATTTGAGACTGGGGTTGGTTGGATAATTGAAAAGTCGGATAACCGAAAAGTATGAAAAAATCCATTATTAGTGTAGTATATTATTATATCCCATGTAATTAGTATATTAGTATATCACTATTAACCTACTTCGCGTTTAATTTTCATCGATGTTAAGCCTAACAAAAATTTTTTAAAATAATAATTGTCGCTATTGTATCGTTAAAATTTAGAAAATTAAGCCTCGTTTAATTAAACACTGGCTCCCTTTCATGGTCGAATGAGTGTTGCCAGCTAAAACACGTAAAAATAATATTAAAGTAGCCAAGACATAGCCAAATATTGTAGCGCCACATCACTAGCGGACATTTGAAATTTGCCGACTAGGA